CGTGGGATACAGCGGAATGTATGATTGGTGATGAGAGCATGCTGATGTGGCATTGGACTAAGGTGGCACTGCATTGCGTTGTGGGTGGTACCGAGGTCATGACCGGTCATCAAATGCAACATCAGCTCAATTGGTGAGAAATCTGTGGTTGGGGGGCAGCTATCTCCAGGTATGTTGATCCCTTACCTTATCTACTCTCTCAATCTCTTCTTACCGTGAGGAAGTGAGTCCAACTTGAGAGTCCTCTCTTTTGGTGAGGTGTCGCGAGCGCGCTACCTTGAGAGACGACAATCTTTCCGGAAGCATGTGGAAGGAGAAAGGGCGGTGCCTCTGAAGGGCCCTGGTCGAAGCACTTGGGTCACGGTCACCATGCCAACCCACAGGGAGTAGTGTACGCATGCGATGGCTGCTGTCCTGTTTGGCACTTGGTGCGCTGTTAGAAGTTCCTCCGGGTGTGCCAGCCCATGACAGACGCTTACCAGACCGTCTATAAACATTTCTGGTTGGGAGTTCATTGTGAATCTGGCTGTGATCATCGTCTTGACTGCGACGTTAAATAATTCCTGAAGAGATGGGGGCGCTCTATAAATTCCTCCTGATCAGCCAGATCACATGGACAGGAAGGCTCGTCGCCGTATGAGGATAAATAAGAGTGGTTGGGCTGGCTTGCTCGGTGACAACTTGGGCACAGGGGTGGGGCGAAACACACACGAAGACACTGCCTGCGCAAAGATGCTATTCGGTATGTTGGATTGAGGGGAGGGTAGGTTCTAATTGGTGCTCAACTGTATACACAACCATACCCATCAATCATATATCTGCTACATGGTCATTTTGTACTTTTGAYTAGTTGGTGAACGGACTGCTAACACCTCACAGACAGACTAGAGTAGGACTGAAGTATACTACCATAGCCAATTCTGTCTAGTGCTGTTGTAAGTGAACCAATCAAAGTGCATCTAGACTATGTAGACAATCTGTGTGAATGTTGTAGACATGCCACTTGATCGGTACAGTAGGGGAACTGCCGGACACAACCATTATTAGAAAATTAGGTGCCGGTCAGACATATGCTGTGGTAGGATTCCATTAGAGAGTTCTAGTGCAGACAATGTTTGCCTAATTCATGAACGGGTCAGACGTCGACGAGGAGGGAGTTGACGATAGTAGACTGACACGTGCAAGATCAAGAAGGATCCCGTACGTGTTCAGGACTCTAAATAAGGGAGAAGAAAGACGGCTTCATGCCGAACGTAGAGCCCGTGCTCTCGCAGCATCGAGAGAAGCAGCAAACCTTGCAGCTAGGGAGCAGGCTGCCGCAGCAGCCACGACAACAGCAATGGCTACCGCAGCAGCAACCTCTGCTGCAACTTCGGCTGCGTCCTCGTCAGGAACCCAGTTGGGAATGCCAACGGGGTCCCCGGGTATCTCCACTTTACTAGGGTCTAGGCCTTCTACAAGTCAAATGACGGGCGTGCAGTTCAGCCCGTTAACTCCTCGCGAGAGGGAGCTCAGGGAGCTTCAACAAGTCGAAAGGATCCGTGAAAGATTAGAGAGGGAACTGAAACAGGCTACCGACAGAGAAAAGGAGATCAAAAATAGAACAGCCAGGCTTGATACTCTAGAGACTGACAAGGCTGAGTTGGAGGGTTTGGACGATTCAGGAATGARCGAGCCCATGAAAGTGTTGAGGAACAACATGCTGTCACTGCATGCGCATGTGGACAGCAGGTTGGACTTCATGCAGAACACTTTAGACCAGATCTTGGATGCTTTGACAAGGCCAGGATTCCGGCCACCAG